AGTTAAACAGTGGGTGGGACTATTAGCCTACATACAGAAAATAACATTAATAGAATTATAATCATGATGGTATTTTTAAATAATGTTTTACCAATCATAGAGACTTAATAGGCTTCTTTCTTTGACAGATTGAGTGTTTTCTTGTCTCTGACGCTCACTGCGTCGGCTTAGCAACAGTTGTCATGCAGTATTATTACACAGACGCACTCAACATGAGGAAGTTACACTCTGCTAGGATTTCACAACTTCACATAGATACACATCTTCTTCATGAGCACAAGAGCATTTAATACAACAGTCTCCATCCCAGAGCAGTGAGAGATTGGATGCTGCAGAACGGAGGGAACCTAAAACAACACACTGTGTTTTGTTCATTATTTTGTTCTTCCAAAACTCTCCCAGTGACTTTCCACACTTTTTATATTCAACTAACCAAAAAGTCACAATCCAAGTTTGCCATGTAGTTTTGCATTTGTAAGGATGGGACGCACTGAATGACACAACACCCTGACAAGCATCTGTCAGCTCCTGTGGGAGCGGCTGTCACCAGCTCGTGGTGGACAGCAGCAGCAAGGAGAGCTCTGCTCTGCCCGGGGATCGAACCAATGACTTTCCACTCACTTCTGTAACCTTTAGGCCACCACCACTGTTTTATTTCATCTGCAGGAAGGTTTTCATTTATTTCTGTTATTTATTGCTTTTTATTTTCTATACGACCTGACGTGTCTATGACCTCCACACACACACAATATCAAAGTTAGACAAAAAGGAAAACATTGTAAAATTGTTCTCAGTAAAGTTTGAATCCATCAGATTTCCATCAAATCAAAAACAGTTTTTAATTCTATTTTTAGTCATTTTTCCCTGCAACATCCAATAATAATAATAATAATAATAATAATATGTATTATATCGGCACTAATATTAATGACTCTACTGTGTCTCCTTTATCACGACTAGAGAGTCAGTCAGATATACTCCAGTAAAGCTCCACCTCTTCCTGTACGCAGACAGACACTGAGGACAGCACATGTGAGACATCAGAGCAGACAGCAGACAGACGGACAGAGAGACGCTCTACCTGGACATGGATCACCTGTTGGTGCTGTTGCTGTTGCTGTGGAGCTCAGGTAGGACTCTGCTTTAAAGATGGTGAAATATTGTGTGTGTCTCTCTCTCTCTCTCACACACACACACACACACACACACACACACACACTCACATTGATGTATGAAAGGAAGAAAAAAGGAAAACAGTGTAAAATTGTACACAGTAAAGTTTGAATCCTTCAGATTTTCATCAAATCAAACCCAGTTTTTAATGAACTTTTTAGTCAATGATTGTTTTTTAGTAATTATCTCTCTGCAATAATTCAGTGGTGTCAGAAGGTGTGTGTAGCTGTGTGTGCGTACTGTCACTGGGAAGTTGTTGCTGAGATATTGACGTTTGTTTTGTTTTTGTTTGTGCGTCTGTGGGGTCAAAGGTCAACTTCACTAAATCATCAGAACTAATAAATATCAGGTAATTAGTGAACACATGTCACATGTCCTGACGCTGACAGCATTAATGTGATAGTAAGAGCTCAGCGTGCTAACGGAACCACAGTCCTGTAATCTGTAATCTGTCAGCAGATTCTGATCAAATGAACATTTATCAGAGGGACAGTGTTTCACAGAAATGCACTTCAGAGAGTTTAACTGCAGGATGTCAACATCACCTTTAATGGACCCATACAAAGAAAGACAACTACTGTGTTGGTGCAATTCATTAAAGTTTGCCTATCAAAATGATCAATTATCAAATAATAAGTATAATTTAAATTCATTATAAAGTTCTTCGGGCACCACTTTTAATTTAGGTTAGTCTCATGAAATACACAAAACTTTTATTTTGGAACTTAATAATTAATAAATAAATTATTACCTACGACCAAAATGACCATCAACAGCTGGTAAGTTGGAGGATGTGGAGCTCTAACTTTATAAGTATAGCACCATTCATACAGTTTAGTGCAGCTCAAAGTGATTCACAGATGATTGATAGGATGATATTAAGACAGAATACAAAAACAATGAAATATAGTCAATTTAAAAATAGAACACAACCATAAAAATTCCAGTCAATACAACAAATGTTCTTTTTTCTCAGGTATACTGATAGTAAATCATTAAAACAAATGAACAATGAAATCCTTGTGCTGGAGTTAGGGTCAGGTATATTCAAAGACTCAACATTGTATGATTAGTAGTGGTGGGACTTGATTAAATAATAATAATCTAATTAATTAGAGGCTTTGTAATTAATTAATCTCAATTAATAGCATATCAATATTTGAGACGAGAAGCAACATTTTTCAATTGAAATGGATTTTGGTATATGACTGAATCAATGAATAGACACATAAATGAGCTTAAACAACAAAATCGTGTTCATTTTCATCACTGACTGTTAACATAAAGTGCAATATGAATAAAGAATTTTATGATTGCATTGTTCACAAGGCACAAACTTAAATTCAAGTTAGCTATATTCAAGCTTTTTCAGGACTTTTGTAAACTTTCTATGTCTTCAACACACTGCCTGCTTGAACTAGGAGCGTGGTCTGTGCTAGCTGCAACATGTTTGGCATTGAGGTGGTAGCGGAGGCTGGAAGTGCTCCGGTGATGGGCAAATTCTTTCTTGCACAGTTTGCACACACTTGTACAACGAGCAACGTTCTGCGCTGTTTGGAGTGCAAAAATAAATTGTGATTAAATGCGTTATTTTTTTGTCACGTAATTTTTTTCTGTAATTAATTATTTGTAATTAACGCAATAAAAGTCCCAGTAGGAAAATATAAATAAAAAATTAAAAACACTATGTACAAGAAAAAAAAACGTAAGAATCCACAAACAACAGATAACACAAATAGTAGCAGCAGTTGCACATGGGCAATAGATTGATTATATAGTTAGATTGATATCTCCAGGTGTACAAGTGTGTCCAATTGTGTTCAGTTGTTGACAAGTTTAGCCTTGTTAAGGCCTTCAGGTGTGTCTGGTTTGTGATTATTCAGGTGTTTTAATGTGTTCTTGAGTTTTCAGGTG